TCATTTACAAAATACATGTTACATTTCAATGTCATATTTCCCAGAAAAAAAAAAAATAAAAAAAAATTATAATATTTACAATAGAGCACCTTTTTTTCACTATATAAAATAAGAACGACACGAATGTTCCAAATATTCCACCTCGTATCACATTACTTAGATTGGATCATAATGTATCTCTTGTCCAACTTCTCATAAACTTTAATTTTCACGTAGAATTAAAACAGGGGTCCAAACCAGGGAGCAATTTATATATTTATTAATATATAAAAAACAAGTGGACAAAAAACAAAAAATAAAAGAGGAAGTGGAACAAAATAAAAATCACGTATTCACTAAATACGGTTTCTTCACAATTTGGTTGGAAAACGTATTCATGAAATATGTTTTTACAGAATTTTTTATAAAAAAAAAACGTATTCATGAAATACGTTTTTCAATTAAATTTTGTAAAAAACGTATTTCATAAATACGTGGTTTTTATTTATTTCCACACTCCTCTTTTATGTTTTTTTTCCTGTCCACCACTTGTGCTCAGAATTTTTTTTTGTAAAAAATTCCCAAACCAGGCCACTATCTTTTTTAATAGCTTAATATTTGTATTAGCATGTTTTGAAGTGCCATTATGTCTTGTGTTTCATTACTAGAGCCATAATTTATTCTCAACCAGATAAGCCGCTGCCTCTGTATTTGGAACAAATAATACAATTAACCAAAATGAAATCTACAAAAGAATTGAAAAAAATTACAATTTTAAATATTATAAACAGCAACAAAATAAATAATGTATTTAGTTTGACTTGGTTATGCTTTAACTTGGAGAAAAGACTAAGTCTTTCATATACCCATTAGAAAAAAGAAGAAAGAAAAGAAGATGCAACAGGTAAAACTAGCATAATTAAAAACCTCAGCAAATTTACTGGAGAAGGTGGCTTTTAGTCCCTTAGGTTTTTTCATCTTTTTCTGCTGGTATCAAGCGGGCATTAACAGTGTTCGAATCTAAGGGCAGTGCAGAAACATGAACTTCATCAGCTAAAAGGGTGAGCATTCAAGTTGAATGATATTAATAAAGCAATGGACCAAGTATGAAGTCTGTCTCACGCACTCATAAAATAGAAAAAATATTAATAAACGCATAGGCATGTAATAACACTTAAATGACAAAAATATATTTCTTTATGATTTAAACCAAAGATGAAGACATTAATTTTGAAGAAGCTAACCTCACAGTAGAACTCGATCACTTGACACGATCACTTGATAGAGGAAATTCATCATGTCATTTGGTTGGCCGCAATCCATACTTTAAATGGTTGTGCAACGGCTATAAAGGTGAGAGATGAACGTTTGTTCCGTTACACTGCAATATGTGCAGCCCGATCTGCCGATAATGTCGCCATTGCCTCCTTGTGCCACTAATTAGAAAATGAAGGTGTCCCTTCCATCACAATCACGAGCTAAAATGGAAAGAATTAGCATAAATTGGTTATCAGGTTTCGTTTTCCTCAAAACTCAATCCAATACATCTGCATAGATTTAGGATTGTTTATAGGATTATATAAAATCAGAATTGATGAATAGTCAAGTTCTAATTACACAAAATTTCTGTTTCCAGGAGACTAAATAAACAAGATTTAGAAGGATAAAGAATATACACTTCTTGCACGGTAACAGGAGCAGTAACTATGGCTTTGCGAGGACGTCCAAGAACCCGGCGTATTAAAACTGAAGTATTTTTGTGAATTAACATTCCTTCATCGAGATACTCTGAAATAACAAAGAATAAGAAGGGTATAAAGCCCACAAAACCACCATACAAGCTAAACAAAAGAGCACAAACTACTAATTATCAGTTTGGGATATTATGCTGACATCACCCCCACCAACCCGTAGTACTATCCTAATGTACCTCAGTACTCTATTCCCTATCAAAGCAAAGAAATAAAAACTTTTTTCCCAAAAACTTTACACATTAGAAAACTAAAACCAGACATTCATTGTAATTAGCCTCAACCACTTCCAACAAATTGTTCATGCATATTTTTTCACATGCACTTTAACTAAGAAAAGCTGTTGAGTCTCCAACCCAAAATCCATTTAAACAAACAACCTGTTTGAGGTAATAACGATGCATATAATATGTGATTAACCATTTCACATCAAGTATATGATACTGTTGGACAACATATCAAGAACCAACAAATAAACTTGATGTTTTTAAGGGTGGGGGATCGTCCTAAAATGCCATACACCATGTCCAACCATGTGTGCAATCAAGAAAAACAAATCCTAATCATTTCAATTCCGGACACAAATTATCTTCGGATTTGCGGAGAAATGCCATTTGCTTTGTGTTGTGAGTGTGTGTGTAGAGAGAGAGAGAAACCGGAAGGCATTGGATAAATTGACTCCATATCCTATAACCTTATAAGTATCATAAACAACTCTTGCACATAAAACCATTCATTTCATTTAAGCCTCATAAGTTTCGTCTACCATTCTTGCACATAAACCATTAATTTTGAAACAAATTCTCAATGATTCAGCCAAAAGCCATACAGCTACGCAAAAAAAGATGAACATATTGCTTTATCACAAAAATTAATTCAATAAAAGAGCACCTTTTTATCTTTACTTGTGTTTGCTCTTTCTCTAAGAACCGGGATATCGGGCTGCCGGCTTCATAGGGAATCTGGAATCTGACAACGTCCTCCTCCACGAGGATAAGGCAGAAGATAGCGGGCTCTCTGTCGTCTTCGGCAAGATCATTGATGTTGAAGAAGATCTGCCAGGTGACGGATTTCTACAAAATTATCTGATGTGGGATTTTCTGTGTTTTTTTTTTTCACTATAATTCTGGTTTGACAATCAAAGGCACAAACTAATCAAACACCAGAGTACAAATCATAGGGCTGAAAATTAAGATTTCACATCAAAACAAAAACGCATTTGATTTCTTTCACAAAACAATGGCTTCGTTCATACCTCAAACAATGGCGACCTTGGAGCCCACCTCCTCGAGCTTGTTCTTGGCTTCGTCAGCCTCCTCTTTGGACACCGGCTTCAAAGGGCATCTTGAATCTGGAAACATCCTCCTCCACGATGTCGAGGCAGATTATAGCGGGTTCTTCATCGTCTCCACCGTCGAGGCAGAAGACAGCGAGCAGAGCACTTGATTGGCAATGGTCCGAATAGTTATGGAACTGGACCTAGCCCGCACACCTGCCCCACAGAACCGCCCTGGCCCATGACCACGGCTGTCCAGCAGGTCGGTTCCCGACCCGGAAATGTTAACAAACCCAGAGTAGTCAGCAACATAGATATACAAAGATATAAGAAAACAGAACTCAGATCCTTAAATAATAATTACAATGCTCATCAGGAAAAGGAAATGCCCAACGAGATCTGCAGGCCAAAACAAATGACATGTCATAGTGCATATTTCACATATTAAATAATTCCACTGTTCATCACATTTCTTTCCAAATCTTATAATATTATCAAATTTTCAACATTAACTTCAGTTAACGCCGTCCTCTCGGATTTTCTTCGTCGCCTTATCATCTCTCTCGCGCAGGCTCAGTCGATTCTCCGTCGCCTTCCCCAGTTGGACGTGGCG